TGATTTGGAGTTCCATCCTGACCCAAGCCATTGCTCCCCATCAGTGATACCCAGCCTTAGATGCTTATTGCGGTGTCATGCAGGGGTGAGCTCAGTTTAAGTAACACCTTCCTTTTCCTCCTCCTTGTGCAAGTGTCCACATGAGTTTTCCTGATGGAGCCAAGTCTTCCATTGGTAGTTTGTATGTCTTTTAGAGATACATGTGTTTTGTGGAAATACTGGTCCTATTGACTTTACAGCGCCAGAAAATAGTTCTTAAGTGGTAGAGAGCCAAGTGGAGCAAGCAAGAACAGAGAGTGCTTGATCCCAGGGGCTTGTAGTAAACAGCTGTCTAATCCTATTGATGACTAAAACTATGAATTAAAGAGATCTATTTTCAGAGCTGCTGTTCATTTATGGAGAATTGGCTAATAATGGAAAAATATCAAATCCTGATGTTCACACAGTGTCTGGAGACAGGGTTTTTGCCCCTTATCCGTTAAACTTGGACCTCCCCCTTGTTGTAACACATTTTGCCACTTGGCATCTTACATCTGATCCTCTTCCAGCATGAGGGACTGTTTATTGAGGAAGTTGAGAACTGAACCTTTAAGTTCAGGGAGCATGCATCCCTTTTTCATGACTTGGAGCTCCCTTGGATAGGAAAATCGAAATCCCACCAGCATCTCCTGGGTGTCCTGAAGCCATAGCTTTATGTCTGTCTATCACCAGGATTTGCCTTGTTGTGGGGTGTTTTGCCTTGTGTTTTAATGGATTAGCTGGCCTGATACCACCGCTGCTGGCCAAGAGAAGGTGGTAAGAGCAGGATCTCCCTCTGGGGAGGCTGGGAGGGTGATGGAGGGAGAGAAGCCTCCAATCTCCACATGGTTTGTGTTATGGTGTTCCCTCTTTTCCTGGTTCATCTTCAAGGAGGGAGGATAAAGCAACAAGAGCCATTTTAGCCTTTTTCAACCACCTTCTTTTTCCCTCTCCATCAAAAGTTGTTGTCAGTTTTAGTTCTGATAAAAGCCTACTACCGAACTGTCATCCAGCAGACTTCAGCTTGCAGACTCTGCAGTTGAAGGAGAAGGGAACAAGGGGTAATAAACAATGCTTCACATTTCAGTTTATCTTTCATTGTCTTGGAGCTGTTTTTTCATACATCGTGGGAAGCAGCGTTCAGTGTTTTGTGACAGGACTGGGCAGAAACCCAGAAGGAACAGGGAGATGGTCAGGATGCTAGTGATACATTGAGTTATTGCTAAAAATAAGGAGCTTGCATATTGCTTTGAGAAGAGTTGAGGGTGCTGTACATCCTTCTGTGAGTGAGGTTGAAGACTTCAGCACTGCTAACTTATTGACTCTGGGGTTAAAGTGTTTGACCTCTATTGAATAGGATGGTGTTGAAGGCCAGGTTGGACAGGGCTTGGAGCAAGCTGCTCTAGTGGAAGGTGCCTCTGGCTGTGGCTGGGGGATGGAATTGGGTGAGTTTTAAGGTCCCTTCCAACATGAACCATTCCAGGATTCCATGGTATTTGACCATCATGTGTTGTCCTTTGTCATGGCTCTGCCTCCTGGTTCCAGTGCCTCCACCCCATTTCCTCACTGTTGGTGAACCATCTCTAAACAATCTTTGGTGCTTCTTCATCTCCTCTCTGCCCTTCCTTTGCTTCACACCAGATTCTCTGCCCACCTCCTGACTTTCCTCCTGATGTGTTTGCCTGAGAAGAGCAGAGCTGGAAGGCTGGGGAAGGGCCCTGTAATGAAGTTTGATGTTTCAGCAGATGAGCATTGCCTTCCTGTGCCCAGGATGGAGCATGACTTGGCAAAAACATGTTCAGGGAAAGCCTCTATTGCCAGGCAAAAATGTGCATTTTTTTTTCTCCCCTCAGGGTATATTGGTAATGGTATTTTTGAGGCATTTGACTCATGAGACCCATGGAAGTGTGGGGTGATAAATGATCAACCCCTTCAAGAAACTGTTGGAAACGGAGCAAAATCTGGTTGCTTTCTGAGAAGACCTTGTCCTCTGCAGCTCTGCTGAGAGCAGATGAAAGCCCTTAGCTCTTGACAAGGCACATCCTGCACCAGCTTCCAGTAGCTTTGGCAAATGCTAGGTTATGTCAGAGGCTGATAAACTGCTGAAGATAATTGTTGAGCTGACAGCAGAGCAAGAGTGGGTTTGATGACCCGCAAGCACCCTGTCCACGCTCTCCTCTCCAGTAGTAACAATTATAGGGGTAGTCCTTCCTTCGTGGAATTATTTAGGAGGAGAGAGGGAGAGAGAACTTCATCAAAGGCGGGGAAATCGCCCTCTTTCAGCTGACTGATGAAACTTTAATAAGGGGATTGATGAAACTTTAATAAGGAAGCCCTGCTTCAGGAGCTTTACTCATCTGTGCTGGTGGAAGCCTTCAGCTACCCGAGCAACTGAGGTTCCATTATTTTACTGCTTTCCTGGGCTCTTTGGGGAGATCGCGTCCTCTCCTCCGAAATGAAAGAATCCGTGAGCACTGAGCAGCCTTCCTGCTCGCGCACCCTGCGGGGAGCCAGGAGGAAAGTCAGTTTTTTCCAGACAACATTTGTTTTCCTGTGAGTTACAGAGGATGTTTTGTGGGTTTTTCCCAACTGCTGACAGCTTGAATTAGGGATGAAAGCAGGATATTGGAGGCCACGGGTTCAGTCGAACCTAATGGTGTGGTCTAGTCCTTGGATGACAGACAATAACCTTGTATTGAACAGCTGGATTAGTTGGACGCTGATTATTTCATATCACAGAACCCCAGCCTGGTTTGGGTTGGAAGGGACCTTAAAGCTCCTCCAGCTCCAACCCCTGCCACGGGCAGGGACCCCTTCCACTGGAGCAGCTTGCTCCAAGCCCCTGTGTCCAACCTGGCCTTGAGCACTGCCAGGGATGGGGCAGCCACAGCTTCTCTGGGCAAAGGCACATAGAATATTCATTTTCATTTCCATTATGACTCTGGCAGAATAATCTGGTTCTCTCCATGCCTGAATGAACAAAACTTGCATATTTTAAGGTGGTTTTGCCTGCGTGCCTGTTAATTTGTGCATGTGCAGATGTTTCAAGTGAATTGTTCTTGGCATTGATAAATACAGTAGGAATAATGGAAGGTTTTTATTATGGTGCTTACTGAAAATACTTGACTTCTGTTTTGCCGTTGCAGAGCTGATTTTGTTGGCAGTAATTGTTTATGAAATTGTTTATGCCAAAAGTTAATGTAATAGCCTCAGGAGCCCCAATTAGCTGCAACCAAGGCAGGGTCATTTCCAAAAACCACTGACCCCTCTTTGCCTGGTGCTAACTGGGACCCAACCAGCGCTTAGCATCTGAATGAGGCACCCTGGATGAGGCATCTGGGTTACATCTGTGTGTAGGGGAATAGGATCTTAACCAAGCTTGCTTGACTGCAGGTACCTTGCCTGGAGCATCGGTGTTGGGGGGCTATGGTCACACTTCCCAAGCACTGGTTGTGGTCTCATTCCCTGTTTCACGGGGGTGCACATAGAAGCAGAAATGCTACAAACTCATGGAGTGCCTCAAGTGAGGAGCCTGAGCAGACAGGGATTTTTCTCCTGCAGAGCTACAGTTGGCTCTGGTTGCCTGAAGGATTTCCTCATGAACCTGAGACGTTTGCTGAATGACATAATAAGCTAATGATTGCTTAATTTTTCCTTAGCCGGCTCAGTGCAGAGCGAGTAACAGCTGGTGTTTGTCAAATTAGCTTTTCTCCTTCAGATTTTGACTATTCATTTTCTTGTTTATTTAACATACTCAGCTGAGATTGAGCTCTGAAGGCCTGCCCTGCACGTCTGTTAGGTTTACAGGTGAATATTCCCTGCTCTAAAGTACATTTAAGCCTTGATTTAGGCTTTGAGTTCCCATGCAGAACCACTGGAAGTTTCCTGCATGGTATGTTTGCAGGATGAAGGAGATCAGTATGTAAAACTGGTGAAACTCGGGTATTTGTGTGCATAAGACAGGAGAGCAGTGGGGCAGATAACCCCGGTGTTAGGTGATGGTTAATACAGTAGGTAAAAGAAACACTCAGATTTGCAATCAGACAACTTATATTTGGGAGAATTCAGAGTGAAGTGGTCACAGCCTGGTTTGTGTTGGAAGGGCCCTTAAGGCTCATCCGGTTCCAACCCCCTGCCATGGGCAGGGACACTTTCCACTAGAGCAGGTTCCTGATGGATTGTTCTGAAACTGTGGGAGCTGCAGGAAATGCCAACCAACGTGTTCAAATATTTGACTTTTTTATTGAAGGTTTTTTTTTTCCCATTTAAATCTAATAACTTTGCCCAGGTTCTATATGACTCACTGCTGCCTTGTCCCTCTGGGTTGTAATGATATGTTCATGTATATTGGGTTTTAATATCTAAAAATGCACCGACTGTAGGCTAGGACTCTGAGAATAATGATTAGGCTGTGTAGAGACCTCTGAGCAGCTGCCAGTGTTTGAAGGGGGCCTCAGGGATGCTGGGGAGGGACTCTTCATCAGGGACTGCAGTGATAGGACAAGCGGTGATGGGTTCAAACTGAAACAGGGAAGTTCAGGTTGGAGATAAGGAAGAAGCTGTTCCCTGTGAGGGTGCTGAGGCGCTGGCACAGGGTGCCCAGAGAAGCTGTGGCTGCCCCATCCCTGGCAGTGCTCAAGGCCAGGTTGGACACAGGGGCTTGCAGTAAGCTGCTCCAGTGGAAGGGGTCCCTGCCCATGTAGGGGTTGGAGATGGAAGAGCTTTAAGGTCCCTTCCAACCTGAACATTCTGTGATTCTGTGTTTCTATTAGGAAAGGGGCTTTGAGAGTCTGTACAAGATATATAATACATTAAAAATGTAGTGTCTCTCCAAGGGACCCATGCAAACAGCGGGGGCCGGGTGGGGATGTCGTAGAGTTTTGTTCCATCTTGTGCTGAGATTCAGACTGCTGAAAGCGTTGTCTATAAATCCGCTGGTTTCCAGTTACAAATGAAGCCTGTTGTGTGTCACCCTTCTGCAGGTGCTTGCCAGAATAGCCTTAAAGCTGTCGGTGGCAATCAGACCCTGGCCTTGGCCACCACGGCGATGGTGTCAGTGGAGCCCGAGCCCCACCAGGGACCTCCGGCGCCGAGCATCCAACCCTGCCACGTCCTCACCTTCTCCCCTATCAAAATCCCGGTTTTGGCTTCGCCTTTCCCAGGTAAGGTCAATCCTGGTGGCACTGAGGAGCTGCTTTTGTGTTTCCTTTGCAACAGAGGGGTTTCCGAGAGCGTTTTGGGTACTGTTCAGGGGATACTGGTGGTGTTGCTGCAGTCTGCGATGAAAGCTGTTCTGTCTGGTGTGGTTTAGAGGTGTTCTCTGGAGCTGCATGCTAAAAGGGACTTAAACACTGCACTTCATGGAGTTTTGATGTCATTGTGACGTTTACAGGCAGCAGATCCTGCATCCTCTGTTATGTCAGTGACTTCTATAGGAAAACATGGTCTTGGTGACAGCAAAGCTTTGCAGCAGATCCCTGGGTTGCAATGCTGGCAGTGGAAAGGTGTCTGCTCAGCATGAAATAGTATTTGATGAGGGCAGAAGTAGGTTTGTTTGGGTGTTTGCAGTTATCAAATACATTGGAACAGTGTAGCCCTGGTTTTGTGTGTTTTGTGATGTTTTACATGGGGTTGCTTATGGGGTAAAATGCTCTTTTCTTAGCATGACTTTGCTTTCTGCATGGGGCACTCTAGCCCCCTGACTCGCTTTGAGGTCTGGCTGGGTGAAAGGCTGCAGGGTGATTTTTGGAACCTACTTGGAACGCTGATGGTGGCCAAATATAGAAATGTTATATTCCAATTAAGTTAAACGTTTAAATTAGGATGCATTTTCCATCTTTTTGGTACTTGAAGTGTAACGCAGCAAGATACAGCGAGATTGGATTCCGCAGGCAGCAGCGTGCAGTTATGGGGTTGGTGTGCAGATGAAATCTATTCATGAGAAATGTAGCTCAGTAATTACTGTTCCTGTTGAGCAGTCATTAGGATCACCCACATAAATGCCTGCTGAGGGTATCCCGTGGTGTCTTTGTGTTTAGGGAGTCTGGAGAGCAACAGACCTGTAGCAATAAAGGTACCAGTCTTTCAGACTGCCTCAAGAGAGGGCAGTACCTAAGTAAGAGCAGAAAGCAGAGTAATCACTGCTATTGGGCAGGGATTTGGTGCTGCTTCCTATGAGTGATATTTAACCCATAGAAACCACATTGCCTGTTTGTAAGTGAGCATCTTTGTCAGGATCCCAAAGCCCTGTGAGGAGCAGAGGACCAGCCGCTGGGGTGGCAGGAGGCAGGGATGGGGCAGGAGAAGGATATAAGACTGATTTGTAGGTTAACCCTTGTATGAATTTGGATGGGGCAGGTGCAGGATGGAGCATGGGGCAGAGGGCGGAAGGATCCCTTTCCTCACCCCTGCAGAGATACAGGTTGTCGCTTGGAGGACAAGGATGCTCTGTGGAGCTGCAGGGTCTCTCCTGGAGATGGAGGCTTGTCCTGTTTGTTGCTGCTGGAATTCACATGTCAAATTCAAAGGGGATGAGCTGGGTTGGGACTCAAAGACTGGCAACACCCCCCCCCCGCCCCATGGCAGGAGGTTGGAACTGATGAGTTTTAAGGACCCTTCCAACCCAAACCGCTGAGATTCTGTGGTCTTGGATGAGGACCCAAAGGGGAAATAAATCATTCTTTACATGTGCTGAGGTGCAGGATTCTGTGCCAGATGTGTTCTCCCCTGAATGGAGATGCTCGGGCGATCTGGAGAGGAGCTGTCACAGGACTTGTGAATTACAGCTGGAGGAGAGCCCTGCATGGGGAGCGTTAGATGGGATCAAATAATCTAATGCCAGAAAGCTCCACCACTTGGATAACTGGCTCAGCCCTGCAGTGATAAACATGTCAGGCCATGATAATTGTTGCTTTCCTTCCGAATGAGTGTATGATAGGCTATCAAATAGCATGCTTTGAGTGCCTGAGCAATCATCCTATTATCAATCATTCACAGTAAGCCACACACTTCTGGGTGTTCTCTCCTACAGAATATATAGTAGCTTTTTAGAACAGAAAGCTCCAGAGCACCCGGTCCATGTACAATAAACCTGGGATTCAGCTAACCGCTTTTCTCTATTAATCACTGTCTCTGGATGGAGGCTGGTGCCTTGCGAAGGAGCACAAGGAAACACTCTTATGAATCCCCTTTTCACTGTGCTGGTGGAGAAGAGGACGCGGAGGTGCTGGGTTTTGGTTCTCTCTGTCAGCAGCTGCTGAGGCTGGGCTGGGTGGGAAGGGGCATTCGGGTGTCCTGGGGCAGGGACTGCTCTGCATCCCCTGGCTGCGTGCAGGGAGGGGCAGCCACAAGCACCTGGTGAAACAGGGGTGAGGGTTTCTGTAAGGGCTGATGAAGGACGTGGGCTTTTGATAGGCATGAGTGAAACAGGGCAAAAAGCATGTGCAGAAGCTTTAAAACCAGCATGCTAAACTCAGTGTGCGCTGGGGTAACGCCTGCGGCCCTCGCTGGAACACTAATGGACAAGGGGCTGAAACTGGGTTTCATGTACAGAAAGAACTGGTCAGTTGGCCAAAGGCGGCTGTCCCCTGTCAGAGCTAAATGCCTCCATCACCATATAGGTTAATGGCTGGGAAGGTTAATGGACCTGCTTGAGTGAGTCCAGAGGAGGCCATGGAGCTGCTGCGAGGGCTGGAGCAGCTCTGCTCTGGAGCCGGGCTGAGAGAGCTGGGCTGGGGCAGCCTGGAGAAGAGAAGGCTCCTGAAGGGGAGACCTGAGAGCAGCTCCAGTGCCTAAAGGGGCTGCAGGAAACCTGGAGAGGGGCTTGGGACAAGGGCCTGTAGGGACAGGCCAAGGGGAATGGCTTGAACCTGCCCGAGGGGAGACTGAGCTGAGCTCTTAGGCAGAAGCTCTTCCCTGTGAGGGTGCTGAGGCGCTGGCACAGGGTGCCCAGAGAAGCTGTGGCTGCCCCATCCCTGGCAGTGCTCAAGGCCAGGTTGGACACAGGGGCTTGGAGCAAGCTGCTCCAGTGGAAGGGGTTGGAGCTGGAGGAGCTTTAAGGTCCCTTCCAACACACCAGGCTGTGATTCTGTGAGAGCATCGAGGAAGCATAATCTAATGCACAGGTAGCCCCAAGTGCTTTGTAACTCTGTCAGCCTCTCTGTTAAAAACATTGTGCGTGGGCATTATGAACAGTGATTTATTGTTCTCAAAGAGGAATGCATCTTGGAGAGGAGCGAAATGTGTGCACCCTAGGGGCAGCTGCTTCTTTTGATTCATCTGTGATTTATAAAGTAACGTGATAATTGATGAACTTCCCATGTCCTCCTTCTCTATACTTTATACAAGGCAGTGCTCACTTAATAGGAATGAATTTAGGGAACCAAAGATTAAATTATTTCTCAGTTAAATCTACATGTATATTGGTGCCAGTGAGGCTGAATGTTGTACACTTACTTATACCTTGTTAAATTACTAAACTGGATGTTGGTATGATAATAGTGCCTTGTGTAGTTCTGTGTTTTTAATCACCGCTGTTTGTTCAATCGATAATCTTATAATTGAATATTTGCTTTTAAGGAGGCCTTTTAATATGATTAGTTTTGCAGCCTTATGGCTGCGTTGCCTCCTGCCAGCCTCATTAGAGAGCTTGGTGAGTCAGTAGGTAATAGCAGGTGAGTGGAGCAAGGTGGGCTGCTGGGCAGGTGGGGCTGTAGGGGAGAGTCCAGGCTCCAGTGTCTTCCCAGCCTCACAGAGGGTATTTCTTGGAGCTCCCTTGAGGCAAATTGCCAGGTCTGGTGAATTAAGGAGAGCTGAGAGTATGCAGAACGTGCTGGTGATGGTTACAAGTCATTTTAATAGCATTTATTTAACATTAGATGAGCTCTTAGGCAGAAGCTGTTCCCTGTGAGGGTGCTGAGGCGCTGGCACAGGGTGCCCAGAGAAGCTGTGGCTGCCCCATCCCTGGCAGTGCTCAAGGCCAGGTTGGACACAGGGGCTTGGAGCAAGCTGCTCCAGTGGAAGGGGTCCCTGCCCGTGGCAGGGGTTGGAGCTGGAGGAGTTTTAAGGTCCCTTCCAACACAAACCAGGCTGGGATTCTCTAACTCTATGTTACATTTTCTAATAGAAAATCAGCAGTAGAGCCATAGCAGAGTACAGGATATATGGGGAATTAAAGCCCGTTTGTAGCCTGTCCTTCTGCAGGATGCTGTGAAGGATCCCTGCTGGGTCTTTGGCCTTGGGGATAAGCAGATGAGGATGGGATGTGCTGTTTGAGAGCACATAGCCCTTGGCTGTGATATGGGAGAAGCTTCTGTAGGTGTTTTTGTTGTTGCCTATTAGTTTGGCACCGTGCTGATCTTAGAAACTTTTAGCGATGAAATAAATGTATGGAAAAGAAGAAACATAAAATCCTCTATATCTGAGGTTGAGGAACCTGTTTGTCTCTACGTGAGGTGGTCTCTGATCTTCTGGGAGTCTGTGGCTGCATGTTACAACAATGTAATGCAGAACAAAAACACAAGCAAGGCTCTGACCACCAGTGAGCAGTCAAAAAGGAAAGGCAGAGGGACACACATGTATGTCACTCTTGGAAGTTCATGCTCAGGTGTTGATACATGGGTTTGTATGTAGATTTATATCTAGGACTCAGTGTCTCTGTGCCAAAGCTAAATGCCAGCCCACAGCATGGCAGTGGTGCCTGGACCAGAGGGTCCTGGGGTCAGTGGCCTGGAGGTGTTTCTGGGTTTCAGCTGTTAAGAGGCTTCCTTTGACCTGAGAGTCTCCTGCAGCCTCAGTCCCTCTTGGTACAGGACATGGACTTTCTGCTCGTAGTGCCTCTGGACTTGATGTTTTTCTGGGTCAGTCAAATCCTGGCATGCAGCATGGGCTGGGATCTGCCTGCCTGGGGGCAGCCCTAGGGAAAGGAACTGGGGGGTCCTGGTGAACACAAGCTCAAAGGAGTGACCACTGAGCATCTGTGGCAAAGAAAGGCAACAGGATGCTGGGGTGCATCAACAAAGGCACCACCAACAGTGATGCAGCATCACAATCTGGGCAAGGTGCTGGGACATCTAGTCTAGGTCATGCTTTGGTGAGAAAGGTTGGACCAGATGGTCCTTGAGGTCCCTTCCAACCTGGGATTCTATGATTCTGTGTTTAAAAT